AACAAACTTAGCTGTTTTTTTTCGCCAAATTTGGTCCCCATAAAGGACTAGTGTTGCAAGCAACGCTTTTTTCGGCAATTAGGGTGTTGTGCAGCTATTTAATGTGGTGAAAATTATTTAAGCACTGGAGAGATTTATTCACATGAAATTGGAGATAGGGCTGATAGATTTACTTAAATAAATTGTGAATCTGCGAAAATATCTTTTCAGCAGATGGATATGTTTTTTAACTTTGTTCCCGAAAATTTACACACAGGCTCGAAATTATGCGAGTAACATCCAAATATCGTCGCTTGGATGGAAAATTGCCGGATGCGTCATTTTGACAATTTGTAGTTATAGATGCAGTTATATATTTTAAAGTAAGATATTTCGATTTTTTGTTAACAGGTTTTTGGATATCTTCTTTAGTTTCCGAGTAATTGACTAAAATGTTTTCGGCTATTTGGTACAAATTGCGTTAGTATTGCTGTCGTACTAAACTAATCAAGATCTTTCAAATAGAGTTACCTGTTCTTTAGTTTCCGACATATTCAGCATTATTATGAGTTTCATTTTCTAGAATCGGGTCACTTTTTCACTTTTCGTTTGCGTGTATTCACTACAGGTGGGTGAAAAAATTGTTGGAGAAATTTTGTTCGGGCGAAACTCATGATTAGGCTGATTAGTAAAAAGTATCGTTAATTTATAAAAAATTGTTATCACATTTTGGCGTTTATCATTAAAACTGACTGCAAATTTTTTGACAAATGTCGAATACGACAAAATTTTATTAAACTCATAAATGGTTGACACTAAACTAAAAAAATATGATAATTTAAGAATTTCGTGAACTGGTACATAGCATTCTTCGACACTTTGGAGAAGATCTGTAGTCGTGTTTCTGAGGAAATGAATTCCAAACTTCAATCGGGAGTTACCAAAAGTAACTTGTGACAATCTCTTATCCAGGCGACGATATAACATTTAGCTAAAATATGCATCTAAATAAATTATAATTGTCATTTTTTTCGTTTCGTTTCGTTGGAGTATATGCCAGAGGAGTAATAGGTATGTATATACATACAAGTATACCTAAATTAGCGCGTTGAGCTTGTATATTTATCTCTCTCTAGCGCATTAATTCTATATACGTCAGCACCAACGCCAAACTTATGTCTGTATTTAATAATGGCTCTATGACAAAATATTCATGAAATGTATTCATCGATTTTTATTTACTTCATTTCATACATTAGTATTGATCTGAATGTTTTTTACTAAATACCAGGAAAAAATATTTAATAAAAAACTATTTCATTTAAGATTAACCAACTTTTAGTTGCTCGGAGCTTATTTTGGAACGCTTCATGAAATATTTTCATAGACGGTAAATGCAACCCTGGGTGCATCATTAATGAGCTAAAAAACCAAACCAAACTAAAAATTCCATCTGAACCAATATTCCCAAAAATTATAAAGCAAAACAAAAACAAATTTTCCAATTTATGCACTGTTATTTTTATTATTGCAATACAGTTTCAGCTCTTCAAACATTTTCCACATTATGCTTTTAAAGCTAGTAGTTTCGGACCCCATTTGCTCATTTTTTTTTCAGTTCTGAATTTAGGCTAGGTTTTATGGGAACTTACTGTGGGTGCATACAGACCACATTTTGTAAATATGTACATATATATGTATACACTTCAACTAAATTGTGATATTTAATTTTATTTTATAATGAATAATGAATTTAATTTGTGCAATTTTTTAAGTTTACTAGATGTAAGACAATTTTTAATTTTCTTTATATATTGCATGCTTTAGTTTTGATTCTTTTTAAGTTAAGTTGTAAAGGTGAAAATAGGCCTCCTAGGGAACCGAGCGAATAAAAGCATACCTCACAGGTGGTGTGGAACAAGAACAAATATAAATGGAATGATTTTCGAAATTATGAAATGGTTATTGGTTATATCTAAAAGGTGATGATTAATTTGAACGTTATTTAAGTTGTCTTTACACGGTCGATTTTGGTCGTTTAACAAAAATCTACCCGTGTAAATTGCAATTCAACCGTAAAATGTAAGCGTTTTGGCTAGTCGATATCTCAGTCAATTTTCCAATCGACAGAAATCGACCCGTGTAAAGGCAACTTCAGGAATTTTTTAATTTTCTTTTTTTTTGCTAGGGAACAATTTCTTTAAGCCATCTTCCGCAGCAATTTGTTGATCTTGATGTGTTGAGATTGAATGGCAACAGGAAGTTGGAGGCTTTCTTGCAGTGGATTCCAACAGTGCGTGATTTGCGTTCGATCACAAAGCTGTCAGAGATTGGGACACGTTGATGGTTGTGCTTGACAATTCCACGTTTGTACATCAATTCACGAACTGATTTAATATTTGGATAACCCCATATAGGGTTCGGCATACGTAGCATATTAATGGTTGCCTTGTTCAATTTGATGAACAAACCGTGGTTAATGTGGCGAAAACGGAACAACAGTAAAACTTTACGCACTTTTGGTGCAACTTTGTTGATACCGAGGATACGGATCACAAAAGCCAATTTGAATTTTCAGGCCCGTAGAATTGGCCGCGTTTCTTTGCCACACAGCGCAACTCCATCTCACGGCGTCCATCACGGAGTTTTCTTGTTTGATATTTCTCAGCATGCACCAAGTTTTCACGTTTACGGAGTGCAATCACAGCAGAGCGCTTTAGTTTACGTTTGATCAGGGTAGCAATTTGCTGACCTGCTCTTGGTGAACTTCAGCTTCGACTTTGGGAGAGGAGGCAGTTTCCTGGAAGGTTGTCTGCCCTTTGCTTGCGGTTTCTTACCGGCCGTGATGGCAGTCATCTTAACTTGTTACTTAACACGTTGAAAAGGCGAAAAAAAATTCGCCAAATGTTTGGAACACATCGTATATGAGCCAATCGATTTATAACATTTCTATAAACAATTAAATTAAATACTTTTTAATACATAGATATGCTGCAACCAGGCACTTACTTTCCCAAATTCCATCCTTCTAATCTGCATAACTTTCCAAATATGCCTGCTACTTCATTACTAATAACTCCATTTTCCAACTGCGCCTTCTTTGTTGGCTCAACATATCCTAAATAGACATAAATTTACATTAAACAAAAGAATTCGCAAAAATTAGCAAATAAAATACTCGCTTTGTTTTGTTTTGTCAAATTTCTGAGAAATGTGAATTCACCACGATGCGATACAGAAAGAACAAGGACCAGGGATGTTATTTTAAGTAAATCTATTATTCAGTGGCAAGGCGCAGAGCGTTCGGGCAGCAATATTAATTTGTATCAAATATAACATTAAACGGTGGTTCTAATACATTCTTTGATATTATTAACCAGAGTACATATATTATATGGTATTTCTTTCAAAAATTAATATACTATATGAACTTTTTTTTTCAAATATTTCTTAAGTTTCTTTCATGAGTGCTGAAAAGCAACCATGAGTGTAAGAAATTGTGTGCTACCTAAAATTTCACTTCTGGAAACTTTATCCCCATAAAGGACTTCACCACAGTTTTTTTACTGGATATACTGAGGTGCCATGGGAGACATTCCACAAAGACATGCACGGACCACTCGACCATTACGAGAGGTGTATAAATTGTATTCGCACCAATGAACGACTAAATATGGACTTTGATATAAATCATGTAACAACGAGTAAACTATGTCCAGTATATATGAATAAAATTGAGAATCATAAAAAAAATAGGATATTAGCAACGAAAGCAAGTAACAGGAATATATACGAATATACAAGGTCTTGTAAACAACTTTACACAGCTTGAGATAATAGCAGAACAAAATGACTTTGATTTTATTGTACTAACAGAAACGCACTTCAATGAGAACAACTAAGATAATGAAATAAGACTTGAAAATTATAATAAAATCAACTGTATTTCAAACTCATCTAGAACGGGCGGGGTTATCATATATACTAAGAAAAACTAGAAAACTGTAAAAATTCCAGAAAAAGTTATAGAATCGAAAATTTGGTGGCTAGCATGTAGATGTGTCGATTGTGGAAACGAGGTAATGATAGTAGCAGTATATAGATAACCAACAAGCTCTAAAAAAGAATTTTGCGAATTCTACAGGGACAACATAGAAGAAGTGATCGAAGTATGTGATAATTTAATAATGTTAGGAGATTTTAACGTAGATTGGAGTATAGATAGCTATTATAAATGCCAAATAGAAAGTCTATTTAACGACAATGGCTTGCAACAAAAAATGCAAGAATACACGAGAATCACAATAAATTCAAGAACAATTATAGATTATGTGGTCTCAAACATTCACAATATCATTTTGAACCAAACCTAACCTAAAAGTAGCAGATCATGAGACAATTGTAATAGAAATACCTTTTAGAAATAAAAACAGTAACTCACAGACACACAATAAAATAGACTATTTCCAATATGATAAAATCCTATTTAAACAACATCTCGACAGAAGAAATGTAGAATACGATGGTGAGCAGCCGCTGGATGATAACGTCATACGGATAGAGACAATATTAAAGGACATAATTTCGAAATATAGAAAAACAAAGATAAGCAAGTATTGTAAACCAAATAGATGGTTCGGTCAAGGTCTGAAAAAACTAAAAACAGAGTGTTGTAAACCTTACCTAAGTACAATCAACTCTGTACCATTTAATTTTAATTAATAATCTGGCAACATCATTATATTAGTTCTTCTATGTTATCTTATTATCTTCATACTTAAAATAAAGAGTCTTGTGGAATCTTTCAAGTGGCGACGAGGAAAACTTCGCAACTCAGGCTCGTGCGCGCGATATTCGTACATTAAATAGAATACAAAATTTTGCTCGTGCGCGCGATTTTTTTTGCTACGGTATTGATCAAATACCCATATTGCCGGGATGCCGAACGAAAGTGAAGTACTCCAAAAGCTAATATTGGAGCAAAGGGAATTCACCCAAAAGTTGCTTCAGCAGCAAAACCAATGGGTGCAAGCGTTCCTCGAAAGGCAAGTGAGTGGTGCTAGCGGGGACGCGGTGACAACTGTGCCAGCCTTTCATAGCTTTGCAAAAGACGTCCAAACATGGGAGTCGTACTTGCAACAGCTAAATCAACATTTTAGTGCGTACAACGTGGTTTCTGCCGAGAAGCAGAAAGCGTTTTTTTAGCGTGGATCGGAACGGAAATATTTGAACTCTTCAAGAATTTGTTTGGAAGCGAACAGTTGCATGAGCAATCGTTCTCAAATTTAACGGGCAAGTTAACTGAACATTTTCAGTCCAAACGACACATAGTCGCATAGGAAGCCCGAAACTCAGGGCATCTACGAGATTACTTTTCGGCTTCGGTAACAAGCGTATTCCATTGCTGGGTGAGCTGTATACGCAAGTGAAGTGTGTCGACAAAGAAAAGTATGTCGAAATTGTAGTAACCAACATTGACTGTGGGGAGAACCTTTTCGAGTTCGACTTGTTCAAACAATTTGGATTCGAAATCCAGCAAATTTCAAACGTCACGGAAACAGAAGTAGACCAAGTGGAAAAGGTTTGTACAAAATACAAAGAACTTTTCGAGCCAGCACTTGGCACGATTAAAGACTTTAAAGCGAGTGTCTATTTAAAGGCAAATGCAACGCCGAAGTTTTGTAAAAGTCGGAAAATTCCATTTTCGCAAATGCCGCAGTTTAAGAAGGAAGCCGAAAGACTTACCTATGCGGGCATTTGGAAACCGATTAAATTCTCAAACTGGGCATCTATAGTCCTAGCGCAAAAAGCAGATGTGTCTATACGAATTTGTGGGGATTTCAAGCAAGTAGTTAACGCGCAAATCGATATCGAGCGGTTCCCGTTGCCAACACGGGAAGCCTTGTTTCATGCTATTCGCCACGGTAAGCAATTTTCGAAAATTGACCTTAAGGACGCGTATCTTCAGATGGAACGCGACGATGACTCGAAAACCATATGGGTTGTCAACACGCCGCTGGGCCTATTCCAATATCAGCGCCTACCCTATGGAATAGCTAGCGCCCCAGCAATTTTTCAGAAATACCTAGAACAACTTCTCTTGAGGGATGTGGTAATTATCTGGACGACATCATAATAACCGCGTCAACCTTCGATGAACACATACAGCGCCTCGAGCTTGTACTACAAATTCTGCAAAACAGTGGCATCAAGTGCAAAAAAGAAAAGTGCTCGTTCCTGCAAGATATAATTGAATATCTTGGACGTCAATTGAGTTCTAAGGGCATACTACCCGACGAAAGTGGTCTGAGAGCGGTAAGAGACCTTAAACCGCCAAGGGATCTCAAACAGGTGGAAGCGTTTATGGGTAAGATAAACTATTACTATAATTTTATACCCAATTACTCTCAGCTGGCGGCCCCAATAAACATGCTGCGCCGTAAAAAGGTTAGTTTTAGTTGGGGACCAGAGCAACAGAAGGCATTCTTAGCGCCTAAATCACACATACTCAACGCAGCACAATTAGCGCATTACGATGACCAGTTACCATTGGTTCTGGCCACAGATGCTTCTTCTTACGGAATCGGTGCAGTGCTTTCGCATATGTATCCCAATGGTAGTGAAAGGCCCATTGCCTTTGCTTCCAAAACTCTCGACAAGCGTCAAGTGCGATATAGCCAGATGGAGAAAGAGGGCTTATCGATCATATTCGGGGTGAAGAGCTTCCACCAATACCTGTACGGGAGATCATTTACACTTATTACGGACCACAAACCCCTCGTAAATATTTTAAACCCTAGCACCCAGCTACCTTTGATGACGTCACACCGCTTGCAACGCTGGGCAATAACGCTTATGGCTTACCAGTACAAAGTCAAGTATCGCAAGACGTCAGACCATGGTTACGCGGATGCCTTATCGCGCCTACCAATAGGCACAGATGAACAATTCGACCACCAAGAAGCATGCTACAATGTGTGCCAAATAGAATCCCCAATAAATGCAAAAACTAGTGAAAAACATGCAAACAATGACGAAATCCTTCAACAAGTTCGCCATTCCGTCGAAGAGGGGTGGCCTGAGAAGTTACTTCCAAAAGACGCTCACCTTCGTCCGTTTTTCAACAGGAAATATGCCTTGACTATAACTAACGAGATCCTTTGCCTACAGACGGAGTATACACGCATCGTTATCCCGGGTTCGTTAAAAGGACGAATACTTCAATTACTCCATGATGGTCATTGGGGAAGTTCCAGGATGAAGCAGTTAGCCAGACAACAGGTATGGTGGGTCGATATAGATAAGGACATTGCTACGGTTGCAGACAAATGTGATGTATGCAAAATTGTCAATCCCACCTCAGCTAAAGAATATGTCAGTTGGCCAAAGCCAAAACACCCGTGGGAGAGGGTGCACATCGATTTTGCAGGTCCAGTATTCAACTGGATGTGGCTCATTTGCGTTGATGCCTTCTCCAAATTTCCCTACATTTCCCAGATGACTACAACAACGACAGCTGCTACAATATCTGCGCTAGCTACAATTTTCACCATCGAAGGCATCCCAAAAACACTTGTTAGTGACAACGGGCCGCAGCTTACGTCAGAGGAGTTCAACGTTTTCTGCACCCATCAAGGTATAAAACATATTACGAGCGCCCCATTTCACCCTGCCTCAAATGGACTCGCAGAAAGGTTTGTCAGAACTTTTAAAACGGCTGTCAAGAAAAATATCGACGACGGCTTACAACTAAATGTGGCTGTGAGGAAGTACTTATCTACATATCGTTTTATGCCAAATAATGAGGGTAAATCGCCGGCAGAACTTTTGCATGGAAGACCGGTTCGCACGTTACTGAGCCAGGTTTTCGAATCACCGAAGGCATGACTGAATCCGCCAGCTCCGAACGGTTCCAAGTTCATCGTAAATCAACCCGTATTCGCTCGTAACTATGCGAGAGGGGAAAAGTGGGTAAAAGCCGTAATTGTGCGACAACTCGGTAATACGGTTTATGTAGTCAACACGGCCGTCGGTTACTTTAAACGCCATGCAAACCAGCTGAAGCCACGGAACTCATCTAATGCCGAATCCTTTTTACCGTGGATTCCACCAACCAATGTATCTTCATCAATTCAACAGCAGCCATCCTCAACGGAAGCAGAATCACAGCAGCCAACGCAAATGCATAACTCGTCCATAGAGGGTATACCAGTTCGCAGGAGTGCGCGTACTCGCCTGGCGGTCGATCGCTATGCAGCACCAGATTTCCGGAAATAACATAAAGGACATGTAATCAAGATTTTCTTCATGGTGGAGAAGTGTTGTAAACCTTACCTAAGTACAATCAACTTTGTACCATTTAATTTTAATTAATAATCTGGCAACATCATTATATTAATTCTTCTATGTTATCTTATTATCTTCATACTTAAAATAAAGAGTCTTGTGGAATCTTTCACAGAGAAAATTAGGGCATATCAAGCAGCAAAGCTAGACAATACAAGATAAGAAATAAATATAAAACGGAAATAAATAAAGCTAAAATTAATATATAAGCAACAGTATAATAAATACACAGGGGCAAAAACAAATGTGGAAAAAAATCAAAGAGTTAGTTTTGCGTGAAGAAACCGCAAAAATATAATGTGTAGAATTTGATGGCGTTGAATATAATGAGGATAAAGTAATTTCTAACAGATTTAATCAATATTTTGTACAAAGTGTAGAAGATATTAGTAAGTCAATTGATAGTGTGCAATATGTAAGTAACCTTGGAGACCTAAAGAACGTATTTAAATTTAGTGAGATTACATTGGAAGAAATATATAATATATGTAAAACCGTGAAAAATAAACCGGACTTCTTGGGAATAAACAAGGGTATGATAACAGATAACTGGAGCAAAATCGGGCACAGCCTTCTGAATATGGTAAACGTATCAATTAGGAGAGGTGTCTTTCCAAATTCATTGAAAGAAACAATGATAACTCGTATACAGAAAGTAAGTAAAACAAAGAGAGCGGAAGAGTTTAGGCCGATTTATAACGGGTGATTTTTTAAGAGCTTGATACCTTTTTTTTTAAAAAAAACGCATAAAATTTGCAAAATCTCATCGGTTCTTTATTTGAAACGTTAGATTGGTCCATGACATTTACTTTTTGAAGATAATTTCATTTAAATGTTGACCGCGGCTGCGTCTTAGGTGGTCCATTCGGAAAGTCCAATTTTGGGCAACTTTTTCGAGCATTTCGGCCGGAATAGCCCGAATTTCTTCGGAAATGTTGTCTTCCAAAGCTGGAATAGTTGCTGGCTTATTTCTGTAGACTTTAGACTTGACGTAGCCCCACAAAAAATAGTCTAAAGGCGTCAAATCGCATGATTTTGCTTATTTACGAAGCCATTCAACCAGAAATGAGCCTCATCGCTGAACAAAATTTGTCGATAAAAAAGCGGATTTTCTGCCAACTTTTCACACATTCAACACATTTCGAACCGAACACTGATTTTGGTAATAAAATTCAATGATTTGCAAGCGTTGCTCGTTAGTAAGTCTATTCATGATGAAATGTCAAAGCATACTGAGCATCTTTCTCTTTGACACCATGTCTGAAATCCCACGTGATCTGTCAAATACTAATGCATGAAAATCCTAACCTCAAAAAAATCACCCATTACATTAAAAACCATTGAAAAATTTTTAGAGAACGTAGTGAAAAAACAACTGATGGAATATCTGAAATCTAATGAACTATTCTCAAGATACCAATCGGGGTTTCGTAAACACGACTCTTGTGAAACAGCAATCAATTATATTATAGATGAATGGAAGACCGGTGGAACACAAAACAAAATTATGGCAGTTTTTTTAGATTTCAAGAGGGCTTACGAGACCATAGATAGAGAGATTTTGTTAAAAAAATGTACAAATATGGGATTCACGACGGGGAGCTTGAGTGGTGTAAGTCATACCTAGAGGATAGATACCAAAGAACTAAAGTGAATGGGAGTATATCAGAATGTAGAAAGGATAAAAAAAATGAGTACCACAGGGATCAATACTGGGACCAATACTTTTTACTTTGTACATAAATGATTTAGAAATGGTGATCAGAAATTGCAAAATAGTACTATATGCTGACGATACCTTGATTTATGCTGAAGGAGAAAGTGAGGAAGCGTGCAAAAATAAATTATTAGTCGATATCGAAGAAGTCACCAAATGGTTAATGATGAACAAACTAAAATGAAATGAAGATAAGACAAAAATGCTAGAAATTAACATTAACGGCACTTTTGAGTTACAAATAAATAATATAAACATAGAAAAAATTAGCAAAATCAAATACCTAGGCGTAATTATTGATAAACAATTAAAATTTAGTGATCATATTGAATATATGTGCAGGAAGATTGATACAAAATTAGCCTACTTTAGAAGGATTCGCAATAAAATAGACATAATGACTGCAATAAAAATATATAATGTCATGATTAAACCACATTTTGAATTTTGTTCCACAATCACATATACATGCTGCAACCAAACACAAATGGAAAGACTTCAAAAATTACAGAATAAGGGTATGAGGCATATTTTGAAATGTAGTAGATACACATCAATTAATTCAATGTTAGAGACTTTAAAATGGCTTAACATAAAAGAAAGAGTCGAGTTAAATACCCTTATGGCAGTCTACAAAATTAAGAATAAAAATGTCCCAGTATATTTAACGGATAGGATTGAGTAAAGCACAAAATCGATGTTTTATATAGGTTTGAAATTATATAATACATTACCGGTGGAAGCGAAAAACGAGGCGAGATATATAACATTTAAGCAAAAATGTGTAGAATTTATTAGGAGTAAGAGGAACAATAAAGTGTAATGTAAAGTACTTCTTCTTCTTCTTTTTTGGCGCTGTAACCGCCTAAGCGATTTTGGCCGAGTTCAGCAAAGCACGCCAGTCGTTTCTCCTCTGTGCCAACTGACGCCAATTGGAAACGCCAAGTGAAGCCAAGTCCTCCACCTGATCTTTCCATCGCAGTGGGGGCCTCCCTCTTCCTCTGCTACCACCAGCGGGTTCCGAGTTGAATACTTTCAGAGCTGGAGCGTCGGTGTCCATTCGAACGACATGACCAAGCCAGCGGAGCCGCTGTATTTTAATTCGCTGCACTATGTCCATATCGTTGTAAAGCTCATACAGCTCATCGTTCCATCGTCTGCGGTACTCGCCGTCGCCAACGCGTAAAGGCCCGTAAATCTTCCGCAAAATCTTTCTCTCAAACACTCCAATAGCCGCCTCATCGGATGTTGTCATTGTCCATGCTTCTGCGCCATATACCAGCACGGGCATGATGAGTGACTTATAGAGCGTGGTTTTCGTACGTCGAGAGAGGACTTTACTCCTGAATTGCCTACTCAGTCCAAAGTAGCACTTGTTGGCAAGAGTGATTCTGCGTTGGATTTCAATGCTGACATTATTATCGGTGTTAATGCTGGTTCCCAAGTAAACGAAATTCTCTACTTTCTCGAAATTGTAGGAGACAACAGTGACGTGGGTGCCAAGGCGTGAATGTGCTGACTGTTTGTTTGATGACAGGAGATACTTCGTCTTGTCCTCGTTTACCACCAGACCCATTCGCTTTGCTTCCCTATCCAACTTGGAAAAGGCAGAACAGACTTCGCGGTTTTTGTTACCGATGATGTCGATGTCATCGGCATAAGCCAGCAATTGCACGCTCTTGTAGTAAATTGTTCCTGAGCGGTTCAGTTCTGCAACTCTTATTATCTTCTCCAACATCAGATTAAAGAAGTCACATGAAAGGGAGTCGCCCTGTCTGAAACCCCGTTTTGTGGCGAACGGCTCGTAGAGGTCTTTCCCAATTCTGACGGAGCTGGTGGTATTGCTCAACGTCAGTTTACACAGCCGTATAAGTTTTGAGGGGATGCCAAATTCAGACATAGCGGCGTATAGGCAACTCCTTTTAGTGCTGTCAAAGGCGGCTTTAAAGTCGACAAATAGGTGGTGAGTGTCGATCCTTTTTTCGCGGGTCTTTTCCAAGATTTGGCGTATTGTGAATACCTGGTCTATGGAGGATTTTCCAGGTCTAAAACCACACTGATAAGGCCCAATCAGTTCGTTGGCGGTGGGCTTAAGTCTTTCACACAGTACGCTCGATAAGACCTTGTAACCTATGCCTAGAAAGCTGATCCCGCGGTAGTTGGCGCGAATGGCGGGGTCACCTTTCTTGTGGATTGGGCACAGCACACTTAAATTCCAGTCGTCGGGCATGCGTTCATCTGATCATATTCCGCACAAGAGTTGATGCATGCACCTTATCAACTCCTCGCCGCCGTCAGTGTTGCCAGAACTTTTTGGGCCGACCGGCTAGATTGGCAAAAAAAGGCGGCTAAAAACGGCTAAAATGTTTTAGTGAAAATCCATATGCTTTATTTAAATAAATCGCAAGAAACGAAAGACTAATTAATACCATTAATTTATATCGAGTGTATATTCCTCATCATCAAATGAAGCACTATTGTATATATCACCTGAATTCATTAACTTTAAGAGATCGTCATCTACAGTAAAATTATGGCAGCATTTTTCTTCACGTTTTAAACCGTATCTTATATATAAAATAGCGTTTAACGTTTTAACACACATTGGATTTCTTTGCTTAGTTTTTATTATATTCATTGAACTAAATATTCGCTCTACTTCTGCATTACTTATAGGCAAAACAAGAAAACTAAAAACTAGGTTGCAAAGGTCTGCAAAAGGGTTTTCTCCTAGGGCATTTCGAAATTGATAAACTTCGGCCCAAAAATTTACAGTTGAGTCTAAATTACTCCAGGTATGTAACGTTAACCGTTGCTATTGCATCTCTATGGATGTTATTTCGTCGGCGTTATATTTGTGTTTTTGAACAAATACTTTTGGTTTAATTACTCTTAATGCATTTCCAACCGAAAAAAGTATTTTTTTTTTAGTGTGGCAATATTTGTAGGGAGGCGTTGGCGTAATTCCTTTATTAAAGTGATAATAAAATAGCGACCATTTTCTCGAATTATTTTCTCGGCTTCGTGGTCAAAAGCGTTTGTGCTTACTTTTGTTTTTAAATACTCTTCAAAACTGTGATAAAACTGAGGAAATGGAGCAAGGTATGGTTCCAACGGGGAGCATATAGGATCAAATGTGTCCGCGCTAATAACCACAAGGGAGCATAGATGCGAAAGTAAAACATTGAGTTCATTAAAAATCTTCATTGGGTCT